GGATGCACGTATGCCTGCTGCTATGCTGCATTGCCGCCATGAGCCTGTCCACCGACCGTATACCTACACGGAACGCGCACCTACCTGACACCAGTTGGCAGCGCCAGACTGTGACGCAAAGATGCATTTCCGACCCGGCGCCAAGGCTGAGAAATAATAAGGGGTCGGCAGACACCCCCTCCGGCGGCGCCTGTTTGCAGTAGTGGCCCTGTCCCATCCCCTCACCTGTCCACTTAGACTCCCCTACAGACATCAAGGGCTGTTTGTGATAGCTGCATCTACACACATGCACGGCTGTCCGCGATAGCCCCACCTACAAACAGGCACGGCTGTCCGCGATAGCCTCACCTACAAAAAGGCACGGCTGTCCGCGATAGCCTCACATGCTGACATGACATGCACGGCTGTCCGCGATAGTCTCACCTGCAGACGTGCGTGGCTGTCCGCGATAGCCTCACCTGCAGACATGGACGGCTGTCCGCGATAGCCTCACCTGCAGACATGGACGGCTGTCCGCGATGGCCCCACATTGTCACACGTCAGGCTGTCCGCGATAGCCTCACCTGCAGACATGCACGGCTGTCCGCGATAGCCTCACATACCGACATGCACGGCTGTCCGCGATAGTCTCACCTGCAGACGTGCACGGCTGTCCGCGATAGCCTCACCTGCAGCCATGCACGGCTGTCCGCGATAGCCTCACATACCGACGATAGTCTCACCTGCAGACGTGCGCGGCTGTCCGCGATAGCCTCACCTGCAGACATGGACGGCTGTCCACAATAGCCTCACATGCCGACATCCACAGCTGTCCGCGATAGTCTCACCTACAGACGTGCGTGGCTGTTCGCGATAGCCTCACCTGCAGACATGGACGGCTGTCCGCGACGGCCCCACATTGTCACACGTCAGGCTGTCCGCGATAGCCTCACCTACAAAAAGGCACGGCTGTCCGCGATGGCCCCACATTGTAACGTCAGGCTGTCCGCGATAGCCTCACCTACGAGAAGGCGCGGCTGTCCGCGATAGCCTCACCTGCAGGCATGCACGGCTGTCCGCGATGGCCTCACCTGAAGACATGGACGGCTGTCCGCGATGGCCCCACATTGTAACCCGTCAGGCTGCCCGCGATAGCCTCACCTACAACAAGGCACGGCTGTCCGCGATAGCCTCACCTGCAGACATGCACGGCTGTCCGCGATAGCCTCACCTGCAGACATGGACGGCTGTCCGCGTTGGCCCCACATTGTGACACGTCAGGCTGTCGGCGATAGCCTCACCTAAAAAAGGCACGGTTGTCCGCGATAGCCTCACCTGCAGACATGGCCGGCTGTCCGCGATGGCCGCACATTGTAACACGTCAGGCTGTCCGCGATAGCCCTACCTACATACATGCAAGGCTGTCCGAGACCTCACCTCCAGACATGCACGGCTGTCCGCGATAGCGGGGATAAGAAAGGCACGGCTGTCCGCGATAGCCTCACCTGCACACATCCACAGCTATCCGCGATAGTCTCACCTGCAGACGTGCACGGCTGTCCGCGATAGCCTCACCTACAAAAGGCACGGCTGTCCGCGATAGCCTCACATGCCGACATGCACGGCTGTCCGCGATAGTCTCACCTGCAGACATGCTCGGCTGTCCGCGATAGCCTCACCTGCAGACATGGACGGCTGTCCGCGATAACCCCACATTGTAACACGTCAGGCTGTCCGCGATAGCCTCACATGCCGCCATGCACGGCTGTCCGCGATAGTCTCACCTGCAGACGTGCGTGGCTGTCCGCGATAGCCTCACCTGCAGACATGGACGGCTGTCCACGATGGCCCCACACTGTAACACGTCAGGCTGTCCGCGATAGCCTCACCTACAAAAAGGCACGGCTGTCCGCGATAGCCTCACCTACAAAAAGGCACGGCTGTCCGCGATAGCCTCACCTACAGTCCAAACAGCCATGGCGTCACCCTCAACGCACCACGTGCCGCGGGCTGGGTCGTCACCATTCAAGCGGCCTGCAACATTCCTTTTGGCGGTCCTTTGGCGTCTTTCAGCTACGCAAGAAAGAAGGAATCGGCAGACGCAGACACCTGGGCGAGCGAGGAGGGGAAGTCGAGACCGTGTTTCCGCCAAAAGAGAAAACAACCAAGGTAGGTGGTAGGTAACTACACCTGCGCTATCTACATCAGCTGCCCCGCATGACACTAATGGGACCGTATTAGAGCCGGCGATAATCACGGAACATTAGTGTCGGGGCAGACTGCGGCAGGGCAGACTGCGGCGACCCCTAGGAAGAACAACTAGGGAGAACAACATTCGACAGATGGCAGCACTAGACGAGATAATCAGACAATACTTTAATATTAATGGGAAAGAAATCATGCCAATGTTTGCCCTCACCAAGCATGTTACCACGACAATGGAAGAATGTAGCGTAGTACCCCTCCCCGGGCCCGCCGCGGGCGGCAGCGGCGGCCGGAGCCGGTCCGACCTTTGGCCGGCCGGGTCAGGTAACCGGGACGGCCGCGCCGTGGCGCCGCGCCCGGGCCGGCCGGGAGACGGAGTCGGGTGCCCGCCGGCGAGCCGTCGGCAAGGGCGCGGGGCACATTAGTCGAGTTGAATGTTCACTGTTCAGTCTTGAGTGCGAGTGATGGATGTGTGAATCGATATGTGAGCAGCAAAATCCAACAAGAAAACAAATCCGTGAAAGAAAGGAAACGCTGGCAAACATCACCACCATAGTCTTCCTACGCCGAACGAGTTCCACACCAACGTGCATCAGCGAGAGTAAAACTAGGATCCTAACAGACCCACCCACCGCCCCACCGTCACCCCATTCCTTCCCAAGTCTCCTTCCCCTCCGCTCGGGGCGTCTTTCAGCTACGCAAGAAAGAAGGAATCGGCAGACGCAGACACCTGGGCGAGCGAGGAGGGGAAGTCGAGACCGTGTTTCCGCCAAAAGAGAAAACAACCAAGGTAGGTGGTAGGTAACTACACCTGCGCTATCTACATCAGCTGCCCCGCATGACACTAATGGGTAAAAAGTTGAAGAGCTATATGGCAGGATTTGTGTCATTTATAATGGGGAAAGGAGGGTCTGAGTGGGACTGGTGAGACTCTAGTTCGATCAGATGCTACGGGGTAATATTTGCCGAACGGAAATGTCGCCGGTGCTGTAACTAATTCAGCACTAACAGGTGAGCCCCGCATCGTGACCGTATGTGTACCGGGCACGGCTGTCGAGGCAGTGCACGGGGCTGTATGTCGAGGGTAACACCGCCTGTTACATGCAGTGTGGTAGATTTGGGAGCGTCAGTACACAGTCGTGACCACCTGTCGTCCGTGGGTTATACTAGGTTATATCTCACATAGGTACGACTATACATATATGCCGTACCTCGTGGCAAATCCTCGTCTCAAGTGAAGGCTGTGCTGTGTTGCAGCATACAACTACCTATATATCGATTCGTCTGACGAGGAGCGCCGAAGCGCGCTATAATTTTTTCATTACAAATAAAAGGCTGGCCCAGGGGCGATCGTTTTACATAACTCCTTACCTTGCTTCGTCTTTCAATGAGGCTTACCTACTTATATAAGCGTACGGTTTTTGTGCATACACCAGCTGTCTGCAAGGTAGCCTGCGCCGCAATACACATCACCTGCAAGATATACTGCACCGGTCCGTAGTACACATCTGCTTATACGGAGTCTCCGTTTCTGAAATGCGCGCATTGTATACTGTGTGGAATTCGCCCATCAGCAGCTATTCACAATGTAGACCGCGCCGCAGTATGTATGTACTTACGCGGTATCGCCTCCCCAAAATGTGTAGTGTTTCGTCATACCTTTGATGGTGTCCTTTATCACCTGGCTCCTGGCCTTGACACGGCGGGCCGGCCCACGCGCAGTCAATAACGGCCCGGCTCCTCTGTGTGGCTATTGGAGTTGGTCTGTTTGGCCTTTGCTGAAACAGCTAATCGATCAGTATTAGCACATTCAACACTAACTAGTATTTATAACTGCAAGGTTTCCCGCTTCATTTGAGGCAGAATATGAATAAAATGGCATTATTTAATGGTATGTATAGGAACAAACACAATTTATTCAGCATGCTTCAATTGGGAAATCCTACCAGAAATTCCGCCAGCCATGTAACAATGTAACATTTACAGACCACACTGAAGCGTGACGTCATCAGTGGTTAAAAAGAAAACCCAAACGCACGTAGCAAGCCGCCACACCATTTGCGGAACGCCGACGAGCATGTCCTTGTGTGTACAGTTGTTTGAGAGTCTGCTATATGTCGCGCGTCAGGTACTCGAAAGTCACAGTATTCAGGTCCTCATCAACATCCATTAGCTGTTCATTTGAGACGATCCTAGTGACGTAAGTCTTGAGAAAACTATAAACTGAATAATTATTATTTAGGTCAAAAATATGAAAGTGGCACAAAAACATCGCTGAAAGTTTGTGGTCAGGACATATCGTCAGCATTATCATCTTGTCCCCATCGAAGATTTACGCAGAAAATCGGTGTTCAGCGAGCGGAATCACAGCCCTGACTTGTATACCAGTTGATGCGACTGCTGCTATAGAGGTCTGCGCGTACCCTGTTGGCTCCATCAAACATCTCACTCTGGAAGGTTGGAAACAGCAAGCACCGTGCCGTGGTAATGACTACGCCTCACCATCATGTCGTAACTTTCGGAGAACACGTGTCTCTGACGTCAGTGGGGTTGGTACCGCCTGTGTAACCTTCTGTGTTTAGATCGTTACCAATAACACTGGCGCCACTCAAAGGCAGTCGACTTGAAGCCTCTCCATCCCTCTCTTTCTTTTTTTCTCTCTCTCTCTTTCTCTGTCTCTCTCTCTCTCTCTCTCTCTCTCTCTCTCTCTCTCTCTCTCTCTCTCTCTCTCTCTCTCTCTCTCTCTCTCTCTCTCTCTCTCTCTCTCTCTCTCTCCGTCTCCATGTGCCTGAACTGCCCAATGTCCTGTGTTTCAGACAACAAGGAGAAGTTTATCCTGTACCTGACTCTGAGCGTCACCGGCGGCCTGCTGCTCTGCCTCCTGACAGTCATACTGCGACTTTACTGCCAGCGACGGCGAGCGAGACACGACGCCAAGGCCGTCTACCTGGACCGACCCACCGTGCTCGGCTTCGGCGACCAACTCAGTGAGTTGGACTCGGAGCTGGATCCGGGCCAGGGTCCGGGTCCGGGCCCGGGTCCGACCATCCTCAGCAGCGGCCGCCTCTCGCCGCCGTACACCGGACAGATGAGCTTCGGCAGCCGGCAGCCCGCCGAGCAGCCGAGCTACGCCAGCTCCGGACGTGGCACGCTGCGCCACCACCACGACGACACGAACCCGCGCAGCCTGGCGCACGACCTGCCAAATGTCTACTATTACAGCTAGTGACACCTGGTGGGGGTCACAGTAGATAGAGCTTACGGTCATGTCCGCCAGAGCTGGCGCCAGGACCGCTGTCTGAGAGCGATTGGAATGAATGTGTGACTGTTGGGCGTTGATGGAAAATGTCTACTGTTGAATGGTGATTGTTGTTACTCCGCTGTGCCCTCGGGAGTATTTCGGTGTAACGTGATGTCACAGAAGCGCACTGTAACGTCACATTTAACATGACCTCCCAGTTCGCGTATCGTCGCTGTGGGGCGGTGGCTCATATCAGACTGGTGGGTCATCTGGGACTTGCCCACCTGGTCCAAACTCTTGCCGTTCGTTCTGGGAGCGCCCGACTCGAGTGTGGTCGAGTCGATACGATGGACCGCGGTGACTCACGTCTCGGCACCTGACCTCGCTGTCGCCCGGAGCGGTCGGTCGGCGGCCGAGAGACCGTCAAGTGCCTGAGCGCCGGCGACCGTCTTTGTCGAGTAGTCTAGTCGGGGCGACAGGGTCCGTGTCCCCGCGCCGCGCGGCTCATTGTCCGATTGCTGCCGGGCCGCCGAGGTCGCGCCTGGCAATATCCGCCGGCATTCTGTACATAACTCATTGTCCTCATCTGCGCAGGGGGAGCGGGAGGGTGGGGCCACTGGCCGCGAGCCAGCGCTATCTAGTCCGACACCAATGGTGTGTGAGAGGGTCGGGAGGCGGGGGAGACGGTGATGAGGCCCCCAGCGACCCCGACCCCACCGGTGGGCGGCTGCGTCCTCCTAGTCGCTGGGTGCTCGTGGTCGGGCAGCGGCACCGTACGTACAACTGCTGAGGGACGCATTGAGTGAACGTCTCTGTCACAGCTGCCGCCACCGCCGAGTCTAAGTTATTGTGCTTTGTCTGTGTTCACGCATGTCACAAATATATGACTTGTCTATGTGCAGCTTACTTTGCCACCTCCACATCTGTTTAAAATTTAAAATCAAATGGTATATGAAAACGATGAGCTATGCAAATTGCGGCGATAGAACAGCTCCATTTAGATACAGTGCGGTCACCGTGGATTCTGTACACACCACATACAGAACAATATGCCTCTGTCTATCAGCGTCAATCCGTCGGTCTAAAACAACAAGGTATAGGATAGAGCGAGCGCCTTCAAAAGACGTCGCCTTGCTGTTTACTGATGCTCCCCTGAAGATCCAGTGTAGTAAGATTACAACTTCCAACTGTCATTTACCGTGCATTCCAAATTCATAACCTTTTGCGACGTGTGGTGAGTTTCGATCAGTACTAATCAGGCGAATTATTCCAAAGACATCATAAATAACCCACACTACTTTCACGCGTTGTAGCCATGTCTTGACGACAACAAGTGACAGGCCCGCCACACGCATGGTGCCTGTTCGGCGACAGTCAGCGACAGGGCAGCGACAGTCGGCGACAGGGCAGCGACAGTCAGCGAAGGGCAGCGACAGTCGGCGACAGGGCAGCGACAGTCGGCGACGCGTCATTACCGCCGGCTGTAGCCGAGCGCATGGGTGCTGTCATAATCCACTGCTCCTCATCAGCGATGCAGTCAGGCACACCCAAGTTACCTGTGGCTGTAGTTTACCTATAATACACTGGGATCACGCAAAAATGTCACAAAAATACTATTTTTTAGATCCTTGAACATATATCGCAAAACATCGTGACAAACTTGAGTTGCAAAGGACTTATGGAGCTTTCGGTGCTTATTACATCCCATTATCCATAGGCCTGAAATCCCAGTTATAAATTTTAAATCCATTCATACTTTTTCTATCAATATTTTCAATCAATTGATATTCCTGCCTTACTGAAAGGAAGGAAAAGACGAATGAATTTCGAAAATACAGCCCTTCGTTTCTTCAATCGGTAATGGGCGAAAAGGTATGTAATCTGCTATTTTATACCTAACACGTTTCATATCAACTACTCGTATATTTCCAAGATACACTTTACATTGCATTCATTTCCATCATGATAGTCCTGCGTTGCCTTTGGGCCACACTCGTGTGGGAGGGGTCGTACATATAGCGGGACAGCGCTGTGAACGTTGGCCAACTCCACATACCCCAGCGCTGTTCAAATACCGTTTTCACTCAACGACGCGAAACAAAGTAACAAGTCACCATGGCACCAGTTCGTTCGATCGCGTGCCTTTGGCCGGCCAATAGCACTTCATATACAACCAACGTTCCCAAGGCTCCTCTTAGGCGCTCTTGCTCAGCGACCTGCCAAGCCAATGCGGTATCACATGCACTACAACACTGTCCACTCTTTAGTTGTCCAATTCCACTAAACGACGACGATTACGTGCGAGGATTGTGGAGCTGACTAGAAATCAGGAGGTGGTTGTTTCACATGACAGCACCTTTACCGGACCCAGTCGTCGAAAACGGCGATACTACTAACACCAAATTCATGACAATACCGCTGCAGATTGTGCGTTGAAGCTCTTAAACGTTCATAGTACAGGGAATTGATTGCATGACGGGGTAGAGTCATAACAGTTTCACACTTACCAGTCGTCCAAACCGGCTCAATACCCAGTTTGCTCTGTACAAAATTAGTGAGGTGTGAGTCATGGCGTTATTGCTCAACAATACACCCGCATCCCTGAGGCTACGCTACACAAATCGGATGCTCACCTTACCCAGCCAATGGCACATATTGCGTGACAGGGTCACCTTCCGAGGACCGGCAAGGTCGCGGTCCTCTGTCCTCCAGACCATATCACAGTGTCCTCAGTCGTAGTAGTCCTCTGATCAGTCTCCTGTGCAGTCCGTGGGCTCACTGCTCAGTCATCTGTTCAATAACGACCATCAATGCAACTTTTGCCCAAAGTACTGTGTCTTTACAATGGTCAATGAATGCCTTATTTATGTTGCTTTTTGTTTGGTGTAATTCCAGCTTTTTGTGCACAGATAGATATATCAAATGCTGATTATTGCCTATACTGCCCTTGCAATCTCCGAATTCCGATGTGCCCACTTGAAACAGTGATGCACCTTCCAGTACGTTTACAAGTCATCTGTCACGTCACCTGTGAAATGCATGTCGAATTGGATGTTTCTTGAACCGTCCTACGTCCTTCCATCAGTGATTAACCAACTCTGTCTTACGTTGTCAATCAGTCTGTCAGTTTCATATCATCGGTCTTCAACAAGACACTTCTTATCACATCTCCCAAGACATCAAATTTCCGACATCATCTCATCATATCTCGTCTAATGTACGTTCCTCATCGACGGCCACATCTCCACGAGCCAAGCATCCCATTAACATTTCTCACATTTCTCAAACGCTTACATCTCTCCACTCCTTTCACGCCATCCCGCCTCACTTCACATCTCACCAAACGTCCATTTTCAGTATGTCGACCTCAGAAGCAGTGGTCTCCCCACTGGGTTCAGTAACCCGCCCAGTCTTATCACTCTGGCTACTGCCCTGTCCGCCACTCTGTCCACCACTCTGTCCAACACTCTGTCTCACTTTAGACAGTTTCTCCCGACCTGGCCTCAGGGTAGTCTGCTCACCCGACCAGTCAGAACTCCTCAGACGCACCCCCTCAATAGTGGCTACTGAGCCATCGCGCTGCGGCGGCGGCGGCGCTGGCGGCCGAGCCGGAGGAGAAGTAGAGTCCGTGCCCTCCACCTGATTGATGATGGCCCGTATCCGGCTCTCAATACTGTGACTGTCCCTGTCCTGATCTGTCTCATCAGTGGCCAGACTGAACGCCGAGCAGCGTCTGTTGTTGCGACCGGCCGGTGATCCACCGCGCGGTCGGAGCAGCACTATCGGCGACAGGAGTCCTGAGAGGGAGTCCCGGTGGCGCTGCTCCGACTCCCTCCAGCGCTCCTCCGAGTCCCGGCGGCCCTCCGCGGGATCCCTGGATCCCACGGCCAGACCGCCGGCCTCCTGTCAGGGATCCGGTGGAGGTGAGAGCCGCGCCTCGGAGGACGTTAGCGGCTTCATTTCCATCAGCTGCAGCTCGGCGGGCTGGGAGGACACGGCCGACCCTCCGCGCTCCTCAATCACAGTGGAGAGGGTGGGAGCCGTCCGACTGGGCGACACGCCCGTGCTCCACACCCTGCGGCCGGACGGGACATGGGTCATATACATATATTTCACACTGGGGTAGCATGGAGGTCATACAGAGGTTACACTGGGGTAGAATAGGGATCACCCAGAGGTCATATTGCGGTAACACAGGGGTCACAGTTAGGTCGCATGGAGGTCACCCATAGATCATATTGAGGTCACACAGAGGTCACATGGAGGTAGAATCGAGGTCACTCAGAGCCCAGAGGTCACATGCTGGTCATAAAGGGGTCATATTGTGGCTGCATGGAGTACACATGAGTATCACAAAGAGGTCATATGGAAGACCTCATGAAAGGATATGAACTTGAAAGCAACACTGAAGAACGCATCGTGTTCACCATACAGTTTCGTCAACCTATGCCCACTACTACACGCCTGACCGGACGCATCAACAGGCAGCACTGGATAAATGAGTGATGTGGAAACACGTCACATTGCCAAAGTTCATCCATCGGACGTCTCGAACGACTTATAAACTGTCCCTAATGCCGAGCTCCGCTACCGTGGCCTGTTACAAACGGATGCCTAACAGAACTGCGAAGTCTATCACAACAAATACAACGGCACTTTTAATCATAAATGGAAGTGGAATAATGAACCTGCATGTAAACTCCACACACATTTCAGAAGGTTTGTAAGTGGATGCTGGTAAATACAAATGCTGCATCACCTCGCCTGAGTCAGCCCATGAGTAACTCGTATGTGAGCGAAACTCGACATCGTCCCCATTCGGCTGGGGAATGATTATATCCAGTATACATTGGAGGGGATATATTTATTTCCAACTGAATCTATTCATTTCCAACTGTGGTTGATCGTAACTTCAAACAGCGATCAAGTATCAACCACACGCAGATAAATGTATCAATCATCATATCACATCAATACAATTGGATCCTCTTCACTCAGCGAATCGTGTGCCGTTAGACAGATGAATTTAGGAGACCGTGGCGGCTGGTGGGGCTGACCATATAGCCTTGGGACCGACCCAGGTCTCCAGTTCTATGGATGCACCATTTGACTGATTAACTGCCGACAGCCGTGCGTTTGTGGCCTCTGGGGAAGGGGTGGTGTGGGGCGGGGAGGGTCGCAGCTGGCCAACAGAGTGCCGGCACGGCACCGACATCCAATCGCAGCCGTCATCCCGGCCGGCCGCGCACGCAACGGCTGGCTGCGGGCGTCCCCCCCGTCCCAGGGCGTGGTCCAGCAGGGGGGGGGGGAGGGGGGGCTGGCGCACCTTCCGGGTTACTAGGGCAGCATCGCACGCCGAGTCGGACTTGGCAGAGATGGTGACCCCAGATTTGCCTAGCGATGTCCGATCCGACTCGGCTTTTCGCTGCAACGACTCCGAAGTGTCTTTCTATCGCGGCGTAATGATGGAACGGGAAAATTATACGTCCTTATCTAGTACCGGTTCAGACCTTTGGCCTCCAGCCCAACCAATCTCATCCTTCCGCCGTGCCACCGGCAGCGCAGCTCGAGCTTCGTGTTCTGGCCACAGGCCAAATCCGGGTAGTTTGGAGCGGGTCGCCGTTCAGACCCCGTATCGCCCCTTCCATCCCGGTCGGATAGGGTCGTGCCCAGCGTCCCTCGCGGCAAGCTGGCTAGTCGGGCCGACATCACTGAGATACACGCTATTCTTCTGTTTGGGCCAGAAAGAACCACCGAGGTGGAAACGCCGTACGACAGACTGCACACGACTGGAACTGTTCAGTTCCGAATCAATAGCGCCGGTTAATTTGGCCGGCTCACCGCAATGTCAAATCCATACGGTCCAGTCGATCAAGACCAGCGGTCACAGCACGGCAGATGAACCTGACCCACTTCGCGTGTTTGAAGCGCAAGGTGCAACTTTATCAAGTTTTGTTTTAGAGTAACTCTGAACTCATGTCATGTTGACGACACGTTTTCCACAACAGCCTACGTTTTTTGTTATGCTTTTTTTTTGGAAAACCCGCAAAACATCGGCTGAGCGCAATAAGATGCATTGCAACGCTCTTTTATAAGAAAGTTAAATGGATATGTTCAAGCCCACTCCAGCCGCGAAGACCCTCTACCATTGTTATCATTCAGATCTGCTCAGTGGCACCTTCATCAATCATCAGAGCAGAGCACCTGGCCAATCCTTCAGTGACAAACTATCTGAGCGACGCGGTGAGCATTGAGCAAAGCTGTACTTCTCCCATGCAGTCAGCCTCAATCTGGCATCAGGCGACTTTGGGACGTCCTCAAGTAAAAGAGAAAGCCTGAATGAGGCTGCTTTTGTCAAAAATTGGAAAGAATGGAGACTGAGAAATTGTCCATGTCGATGCACGCCTTCACTTTGATAAATACGAAGAGACCTTCAATACAATACTGTAAGTGTCTTCCGTGCTCGCGAAACGCCAAGACACCTTTATATGGTATGCGCCTTGCTTGCACATCCGCAAAAAGCGCACTGTCCAATCATAATATCATGCTTGTCAATAATTCCTCAGATCGTTCGGGACATGCCAGCACGCGACCGCTCCTGTAATTTTGTGGATGCACAAAATAGCATGTTTTTCACCATTGCTTCCTGCATTCGTTTACAGTTTATATCGCGGCCGAGATGACACCTCAGTGTTTGTGCGCTATTGACTTGAGATATCGGCAATCCATTCCATTTGACAGTCCTTATCGCGAACACGACTGTTTGGGTGTGCGTCTCCATGGCAACGCTGAAACACGACGCGGCGTCGTGCACTAAGAGCGCGGACCGGGACCGGCGCTATAGGTAGGTGGACGGGGTGGACACTTCACTCGCCTGGGGATTCGACAGGCCGGCCCGGACAAACTGTTGCCCGCTGGGTCGGAAGTCACAAGCAATCCTAGCCGGCCGAGGGCGGGGGAGGGGGCGGGTGCCGCTTTCTATGAGTTTTTCTTTTTCAGATAACTCAGAAGACGCCGGCCAAGAGAGCTGACACTTGACATATCTTGCATTTGATTCGAGTCAGATTTTGTGATATCAACTGCATTTTCAGGTCAGGTCAGGTCACTGACTATGGTGTCATAAGTGAACCTCTTAACCCGCGAGTTGCTGGGGGGCGTTAAACGCCCCCACTTTTTTTGCCGGGCCATAGCATAAAAACGGCGCGCCGCAGGCGCGCCAAATTTTGGGTACCTGTAGAGAATTGATTGAAGTTTATTGTGACAAAGTTTCAAAAAAAAATCGGTCGGAAAAATTTTGAGATATCGAGGTTTTAGTGACGTCATGATTTCTGAGTTTTCGACCAAAAACGGCACATGTTCAAAAAATCATATAAAATCACAGAATAGACATACAGACATGCCGTAAACGCCATTAGACTGCCAATACCATGATCAATCAAATGGCTATCTTCGATTATTGATTATTGTTCCGCATTTTCCAAAATCTTGAACTGAATCTTGGCAATTTTTCGTGACTACTTCGCGACCATGATACATGAATTTCTTAAATTAAAGTTTTTGAGCCAAACACGTACACATATGATAAAATGAATGTCACCATCGTGTTCTACGCCCCAAATTACCTATAAAACATGTGTCACAGGCTGCGAATATCAGTTTTGATTTTCGGGGATATGTGCCTACCCGGTTGACCTGACCTTGACCCTGACCTATGCTTGACTGACCCCTATATGGAGCTGACACTCTTGTAGGCCTTATAGGGTGGATTGTACACCGTTTTGACAGAGTTTATGGCGAGAAGCGCCCATTGCGAAGTCCTGAAGTCCATGCTACTGAAAGCCCGATTTCAGGTGTTTGACCTGACCTTGACCCGACCTGTGACCTCAAAATTCAACTTTAAAGTACTCATCTGAAGCGTCTCGTCGCGCTCTTTCGTTTGCCGCCTCGTGCGTTTCGCTGCGCCTATTGGTTCTCGAGTTATCAGCTGGGGGCGTTTAACGCCCCCCCCCCCCCAGCAAACGGTGGGTGGCGAAATACCCCAGCAACTGCCGGGTTAACCCGCGCCCTGATGGGGGGGGGGCCATTTTGGCCCCCCTGTGGTTTTTCTGAAATAGCGAGAAAACGGCGGCGCGCAGCGCCGCCAAATTTCGGGTACCTTACCGGGCATTAATTTGACACCTTCACACAAAATTTCAAGTCACAAGTTACCTCAGGTCAGGAGTTATTGAGGTCAAACTGAGGTCATGTTCGAGTAAAAATGAGCAAAAAACATGACATCTTGAAACGCTCACCAATTCTACAGTTAACAAGCAATTTTAAAGTTCTTTATGTGGTTGTGTAGACAAAAGACGGCGCTACAAAACTGTTATCTCGGATTTTCGAAATTTTGGGAGTTTGACCCCAAAAAATAAAAAAATGATTTTTTTAGAAAAACTCAAAAATTTTCCAAAAATTTTTCGAATTTCGAAAAAACCGGAATATATGTGATAGTCCCTGCGCTCTTCGATATACATACCAAATTTTAGCTCGATACCTCTTTTTTTGGGCCAAGTTATAGCGAAAAAACTGTTAAAATTGATGACGTCAAATTTTTGAACTCAATTTTTAGCAATTCTAGACCTCGTAGCGCAAAACGGAGACCACCATTGAACTCCCCGTGACGAGCTGCATCGAATCGTTACCCATCTTATGCAAAAATATCAACTTTGAAATTTGACCTAATTTGACCTGACCTTGACCTGACCTTGACCTGACCTTGACCAAAACGTGACCTAAGCTGGCCCTAAAGTCTGTCTGACCCACATAATCGCATTTGTCATGTAAAATGGACCATAAAACATGTATCACACGACACTTTCATATTGTGACCCCCCAGTGACCTGACCTCTGTGACCTGACCTGGTATCAGTGACCTCAAATAGCAAAATATGTGTTTGAAGAACATTTCCCCATCGATGATTTTCAATGAAATGCATTTTACACGATTTTACAACGCATTTCTTGAAATGCCTGTAAACGGTGAAAATTCGACCTTTGACCTGACCTGTGACGTCATCGGTTTGACCGAGGTCAATGAAATTGGGTCACAAGGTAGTTCCCCGTTGGGGTTATCCAACACCGTTTACCGCTTGTCGCTATGTTGCGTGGTTCTCGAGATCTGAGGGGGGTTGGGGGGCAAAATGGCCCCCCCCCCATCAGATCGCGTTGCTCGGCAGACCCCATCTGGGCGCGGGTTAAACGGTTCTAAAATGTCGCACATTCGCAGCGCCCTCAGTGCCAGAGGAGCTTTTACAGGGAGATGAAACTTACAGGACCTAATAGCTTCCAGAGGTCTTACAGCCTGTATATCTCGGATTTTCGTAAAGGTCACATGAGGTCAGGTCGTTGACGTGATCTCACCAATATGGGGAAATTTAGGAACTGTTATTTTGGGGCCGATAATTATCTAAACCTAGCTCAAGTATATGGAATTGCAATTTCATACAATCCTTGCAAGGTCCCATGCTTCATTTTTGCATCGTTGACCTTATGTGACGTCATTTATTGCGTCACTAGGGTCATAGGAATTTTGGTACATAACTCTTGATCAAATTGAGCCAGCGAGTCGAAAAAGCCAGCAATAGCCTCGGGAAAAACTGCCGAATCGAATGATATGCGACATAACCTCATTCGACCAGCTTTGCGACCTGGGTGGCTCTGACCTGACCTTGACCCGAGGTCAACGCCTTATGATGACCTCACCCGAACAAATAGCATATGTAGGTACCATTCGACACGATTCGACCCCAAGGCATGCCTTGGGGCACTTTACCTGACCTCAGAGGTCACCGGTTAACCCTCGCGGGCCCGGGGGGCGTTTTTCGCCCCCCCCCCCTGGCGAATATTTGCGATAGCTCCCGAACGCTTAGGGATAGGAAAGCGAAACTTTCAGTACCTTTTTTCCTATCAATTTGACATCATCTGAAGTAAAAAATTTGGACCTAGCCCTCTTGATGACGTCACAAGGTCCATTTTTCTAGACCCCTGCACGGCAAACTTCGGCGTCACAGACGCAAACTTCAAATAGCTGCTAAAAATAGAGTTTTAGAGATAAAGACAAATTACGAGCACGGTTGTGTAGCGTTTGACCAAGAGAAAAATAGAAAAATAGTTTTGGTGACCTGAGGTCAGAGGTCAGGTCAACGACCCCGAAATGTGGTTTTAGTTTTTCGCAAATAACTTCGACAACAATGGTCCTAGAGCTACGGCAGTGGTACCATCGCATTTGCCTTGTCAAGCCGCGTCGAATGATATATATTTTGTTCGGAAAAGGTCAAGCTTTATGTTGACCTCATGTGACCTCGAATGACCTCTGGTTGACCTTGACACATGAAAGGTCGTTTATGATGGATTTGTACCCGCTGATCACGAATCTGGCATCTATTTTCCTCTAAACCTTCATTTAGAGCTTCCGGATGGCAAAATTGTCTTATTTATTATTACTAACTTGAATTAGTGAAATAGCCTCTAGCAGGGATACTCTTCAGTGACCTTGACCTTTGAGCAGCCTTGTATCGTAAGATGAACCACAAATAGGGAACTGATAAGCCTCAAAACATTTCAAAACATCTTGGAAGTTAGCACGCAAGATGTGCGAAAAAGTGCCAAGTTTGAGGTCAATTTTGAGCGTGACCTTGACCTTGACCTTTCACTTTGAGCACATTTTCAGAATCCTCAGATTCTCTACTTTCGTTTGACACCCAATTTTGCCGGTTTGATGCCGCCTGCCGTCTTCTAGAAGGCTTACTTTGAGATCACTACACATGTGCCGGTTTTTGCCTTTGACCTTGACCTCTGACCTTGAAAATTGACCTGAGGTCAAAAATTTTAGGTGCTTCAGAATCGTCTCGTAAGGACCTTTCGTTTGGTATCGCTTTTTGTTTCCGTAGCTCCCTTATTTACGGAGTTAGACAGGGGGGGGCGAAAAACGCCCCCCCCCCCGGGCTGCGGTGGTTGGGATTACCCCCCGGGCCCGGCCGGGTTAACTTCAGACCTTGAAATCGGGTCCCAATCGCTTTGTCTCGTAACGGCGCACACGCTCGTTTTTTTTGCGACACTTGAGCTCAATTTGGGGCGAAACGGTGAGGGGGTGTCGTACCAATCCTCCCCTCCTCGTCCGGGGCGTGTGTATATAGAAAACCAATAGGTCCGACGAGGGATAAGTCAATAGTAATTGAACCATAACTTGAGCTATAATAACTGAACAAGAACTATATAATAAACTATTATTATTAGTTATACTCTGAGATAACGTGACCGATTTTATCTTGGGGACCTGTATAAAAGTCTGGGATATACAAACAGTGAGGGTTCGGGAACTTGCTACGTTTTGTATGTTTCGTCTGCTTTCGAGGAATCATGGGTCCTAAGGTTGTTATGCCAATGTGCAATGTTTTTAGACCACATGTGGGCTCACTTATTACGCGATAGGTCATATTGGCGTGGCGAAAATGCACTTTGTTAAGAGATCCGGCTTGAAGCACAGGCCTAAATTTCACAGGCCAGGTATGGTAAATTTCAGTTCACTATATGACCAGCGCCTTCCGAGAAATCGCGAAAAGTGTCAGGAGTGGGGCGGAACCCTTCCCTTCGGCCGGGGGGGGAACTAGTCCTCGCACTTCTGAGGGAGAGGGAGCCGAACGAACTCCATTCTCCATAATAAGTGGCGGATCGAGACAAAACTCTCAAGTATTCTCGTTTATTTATTTTACCTTCACTTGAAAATTGCATGTCCGCGACTGAAATTATTTTTGACTTGTGCCTCATTTTTCGATTACATGTCAGGTTAGAAAAAAACGATCAAACGTATGCCAGCACATACATACAAGTATCTGGTTGTTTCAAGACATATTGTAGGTAATAATAAACGTACCAACACGTGAAATGGCGTTCTTCCCATTGGTGATGGCCGGTCTCGAAGTTATGTAAAAGCCGTTAGGTCAATGTCAATGAACGTAAATGACTTCGTGTTTAGGACTGCCTTGGGTATTTTTTTTAAAGCTGATTTCGTATTATCGTATTTAGCTGACGTACTTTCGTATAGTATCATTGAAATATTTACAAAGCATAGTTTTGGTGCCCCCCGTAACATATTGTGAAATTGCCAGTAGTGGTAATAATCGACTTATATGAATAGACTGCGGGACGCCTTATGGCTGGCCTGACCTGACCTTACCTGACCTACCTCAAAGGCTTGAAAGCATCATCGTGAAACAAAACAGAGGCAAAACTCATTATTAGGACCCGAAGACACTCATGCAGGACTCATTTACGATTTCAAGAAGTTGCAGCAGATCCCAATTTTCACAACTTGCATCATTTATTTGCATTATTTTGATCTGCGAGTTAGGTCAACCACTGGCCTAGCACCTCAAAATTGGATATTATGGGCTTTCTAATCCGGGAAAAACGCTCGGTTTTTTGCGGAGCTCTGGCTCGATTAGAAGCCAAACGGCCGATCGCCGCCCCCCCCCCCCCCCCCCCCCCTTGCTTTACTCCCCTCAACTTTTCACTCATGCTGTTGCTGTGTCATGTTATGACGTCGTTTCAAACGCCAACACCGGGGAATGTTAAAGATAGTATACTGACGAACAGATAGGTGGCGACTTGTCCGGGATTGCCATCGGTCTTGTTTGGAAATGCTTGTTGATCGCTTTTAGAAGTAGGTAGTGGTACATACCTTTATCACAAGTGAGTGGTAAATCTGACTGAAGAGGTATCACCTTATGTTGTATGTTGCACGTGACTGATGTGGCCTTTCAGCTCGGATAACGGAGGAAGGAGACGGACAGTCGCGACTAGATACGGAGCATAAATGACATGTGGGATCAGGATCTCATCGATCAGAGCAACATGCCTGTTCAACCCCTGCGTCCGTCTAACTACTTACTGTTGTGACCGTTTGAGCTCGGCAGACGGCCGTCTCTGCTGTGCGGGTCGGCGCCGGCAGCGGGCAGGCCGCAGTTGGAGCACACACACAGTCACCGTGCCCAGGCAGATGGCGCCCAGCGGGATACCCAGCGCGTGCAGCACCTCCTCACCGGCCTGTCCCGGCTGAAACTCGGCCACCGCGATACTGGCGTTAGCGCCGCTGACAAAACACTGAAACACAGCACCCTCCTTGGCATATTCGTCCTCAAAGGCGGAACAGTTGACCCGCGGTGGGTAGCCGCATGTCTTTACGTTGACGACCAGGATCGCCTCTGCCGGGGGCGCGCCCTCGGTCGGCGTGTGGCTCACATACACGTGCACGCAGTAGTACAGGTCGCTGGTGCAGCCCTCGCGACACGAGCTCCACGAGCAGTTGGAGTGGGTGCGGTAGCGTCGCACGCGTTCGGTGCGGCAGGCGGTCGGCCGCGCGGGAAAGTCAGCCTGGATGGTGGCCACGGCCGGGTCCACGACGATCGGCACCAGGAAGAGCAGCGCCGCGCCGCCGCCGATGATTAGCATCGCCGCCGTGAGATTGATGAGCGTGCACAGCCGCTGTTTGAAGGAGCGCCGGCTCTGGAGCGCCTTGCGAAGCCGCTCCTCGCGGATCAGCTGCGCCACCGAGATGGGCGGCTTGCCGTCGGCGCCGGCCTGCGGGCTGCCGGCGGCGGCCCAGGGCGCCGGCGGCTGCTGGTCGGGCGACTCCTCCCTGCTGGTGCCGCCGCTGCTGCTGGGCACCAGCTGCTGGCTGCTGGACGTGGGCTCCAGCACCCGGGACGAGCTGCGACCCAGTGAGTACGGCCGGTAGTGCATCGCCGCGGCGGCCGGGACCGAGGTGTTCTCGCCCTCGGCTGGCCCCCACTCAGCGGTGCCGTGTCCCCCGCTGGCCCGTGCACACCTGGGCAGCACGCACGCGGGCGGCACGCATTGATTGTCGAGCCCGGTGGCTGGTCGGGGACTGCCCGTCCGCCGCCCGCCGCCCGCCACCCCCGCCGCCAGAGGGCCGTCCAGACCTGAGCGCCGCCTGGCGACAGAGGTCGGAACTGCACAGCACCGTATCGGAAACCAATTCATGCCGTGCGTTTGCATCGAGGTATGACAGGTGGAGATCCTCCGGAGGGACCAACTGCAGGTAGGGAGTTTGAGCGGTGCGGCGACGGCGCTGCCATAATCGCTTGGTGACCGCATTTCTCGTAATTACGGTCACCGCAGCACCTATGTATGTGACCACATGTTCTTTAATATATTGATAATATTCCAGTCCCTATCCCAGTATAAATTAGCAAGAAGAAGTAACGGCAAAACATTGACGGAAGCTGAAAACGCTAGACGGCAAAAATGAAAAACGAGCCTGCGTTCAAAAAGGTCATAATTACAAAGTTTGAAAGAGATGGCTGACTTCAAAATTCTAGAACTATGTAAGGAAACAAAGCTTGAAAGCAAACCTGGGCAGTTCTATGGAAGGAAACCAAGCCTGAAAGCAGACACGACATTTATATATTTTATGCATAGCTTTGCAGCTATATGCTTTGGTATGCTGTCGGATGTTTCAATAACAGCCACTGATAACGCTTCGATGTGCTGATCCAGCTTTGTTTATTGAGAAACAGATTGCACTGACAAAATTGAGGCAAGCAACAAAGCGTGCGTTGTGACTTCATAGCGCAATTTAATGGCTAGGTAATGGCCTCATTCATCATATCACATTGTGATCGTCACATTACACGACGATTACAAAATGTTACGGATGGTTCATGTTGATTTATGCAACACAAGGATATTCAGGTTTGAAGATGCACAACAGAGCGCTGAGGCAGTAGTGCTGAGCCGAGTAGATGGGGAGTAAGCTAGACATGAAAGGCTCGCCGTATGACTCGTAAGGCCAAACCAGCTGACATGACAGGTCAAACCAGGTGACATGACAGGTAAAATCAGTTGACCTGACAGATCACATCGACAAACCCGATATGTCACACCAGCTTTTCTGACAGTGTCACAACGTTCTAACGCTCAAAATGGCATTCATCGGCCGAGAAAGTATTTAAATCTTCAACCTTCAGTGCTGAAACCGTTGCTGATTTGCCGTCCGCGGACTAATAGCGCTCCTCGGAACTGTTCTCATCGCTTGAGGACTCATCCTTGCCGTAGCCTTGTCCCTCACCGTCCTCATCTTCCTCGGAGGACGAATTATCGCCTCCCTGTGAGGAATCACCGTCCTCAGGCGACCCTGAAAAGGATGCAGTGAGAAGGCATTAGTGGTGACAATGGTAGGCAATTGTGAGTTACTGATTACCTGACGGCTGACACTTTATTCGAATTCCTGGAGGGCAAGACTCGAATTCCGGTAGGGCAAGACAAACGCTGCACCTACGCTGCTCACTTGCGATTCAAGGGTATGCCCGACTCACGCATTAGGCATATGTCGTGAGTGGAATTGCACTTTACACCTTTACCATTATTCACGGATAACTCATAATTAAATCACGAAAGCAAAATGATTGTCGGTCTATAGGCCAATGCGCAATAGGACTTGACTGAGTACCTACTACCAGTCCCTACATAGACAAATTATTTATGCATGAACAGAATTCAGTAAGTATAGTAATCAGTAATCCTTGTACGGTTCATATTGTTCTCACCTGACTGGCTGCACTCTCGCATGGTACAGGCCGGGATACCGTCCTCCTGGCATAGACATAGATCGCAGCCCACGTTATACTCTGATCCGGGGATGCACTCTGAAACGGCAAGGAACATAAAACCAGTGATATTCTATCATTCTTTGATACAAATAACAATATGCTCCGATTAAAAACTATCAGTGCATTTATTCTCTGACGTGTTATGGTAGAGGCATGAATATATTATTTCAAATTTAATTTTCTTATTTTTGTTACGCAAAACGCACAGGACATAGGCAGTAAGTCAATGCGCACCCGTGGAGGCATGCAACGTTTGGGCACAAAACGTGCACTACATTGAATGCTCGACATCAATCTGTTGTTTCACGAGCTCACCTTCCCTGGTGGGGGCCCGGCAGACCTTGGTGGTCAGCTGGGTGGGACCGGGCAGCGTGTCCGGGGGACACTGCTGGTAAATAGGCACCGCCGTGTCCCCCGGAGCCAGCTCGGGGCCGCACTGGCAGTAGGCGCAGTTCTCCTGGGTGGAGACGCGCACCGTGCCGCAGTCGGCCGGACACTCGAGGCTGTCGCAGATCTTCGTGTCGCCCTTCGCTGCATGGAGAAACCAAAGCGTGTCGTCATCGAAGTGAAGCTTATTGCATAAAGAATATGTATAATGTTTCAAAACAGCGGCACGATGGGCTACTTTCTGTCTTATTCGTGGAAACATTGTGGGACAGCACGGCTGAACAATGAACATTATGCTGGTTGATTCAAAAGCTAGGAGAAGGGAAGGAGATGACACCCGTCGTTTTAGACCAAGCAATAAAAACGATATTGCATTGACTCACGCAGTGTATCGATGGGTCCACAGGCCTTGAAGAAGGCGCCCGACTCCCTGAAGTCGGTACCGGGAGGACAGGGCTCCTCGAACGCGACATGCGTGTCTCCCGGCTCCCCCACGCCGCACTTGCACTCGAAGCAGTCCCTGCCGGCGTTGTAAGTCTTTCCGCAGTCTTGGGGACACCCGATCTGGCCTGATCCGTCACAGGTTGGCGTAAATGCTGCAAGTTGATAGGGGAAGGGGTGATGTTATTGCAAGGTTAACAAGATAGATGCATTTGAATAAGCAAACGTATTCATTTTGTGATTGTTCTGTTTGTAAAAGCAAGGCTTCCTGTCACCCTACGATTTACGAAGCATAATTATTAATTTGATAAGAAGATTGCCGGGTGTGAAAGTAAAAGACATGCTATTATAAAGTAATGGTCCCAAATATCACTCCGGTATTGCAAGTTCCTTTGGCGGCTGTGATAGGATGCAACAATATTTGTCGAGTCTTGTCAACAAAATGAACAAAAAAAGGATAGAGTTGAAACATCATATAATCGTGAAGGCATTCATTGGACACGATAGGCGTTATCACAAGTGTATTCGCGGCCATTGGGGCGACGTAAGAAAAGAAGAAACCAACTGGCCCCAAGAACTTTAAATTATCAGTTAGCATGCACCTTTTCCTTGATGTGTAGAGAATTTACCATTATTTGTTACAGAAAATTGCATTTAAAATCTTCCATTTATGCTTTTTTTCATCTTTTGCACAATATGTTCTTTTACTAAGCTAGAAACACTAATTAGAAATAGTTCCCGCATCATCAAGAGCAATAGGGAAGGCTTGAAGTGAATAAAATAATTTAAACGGTTTTGTAATCTATGTGAGGGCACTTCTAAAATTGCCTGTAGAAATATTGAAGGCAAAAGTTCAACTTTTTCACAAGACGGATGTCTATAAACCTATTTAACTTGTGACAACTCAGCCGGTATTTCGTCGTCTACAGCCCAGCTTTCCCTAGTGACCGATAGAGGCGCTGCTATCGATGTCCGCCCGTGCCGCCTAACGAAAAAAACTAATCATTGTTATGCCGGCATGTAAATGGTCTTGCGACATTGCTAAGTTAATAACATTATGTGTTTCATTTTGAGGTGTAGACATAGATACAGAGCTAGGACCTCGTTACGCTACAAATTCCTGATATCGTCTGCTCCATAATTCGGAGTACTGGCAACAAACAAGCATCACAAGAAACTGCCGCTGTACATATATCTGGCCACTCACTGGAAGGTTCCCGTTTGCACGGCGTGCAAGCCGGCTCTCCACTGTCCGTGCACACACACCGGCTACAGCCGTCGTGGTGCACACTCCACTCCGAGCCCGGTTGGCAGCCTGGCGACAGAAATGGTGCAGAAACAGTGAACACAGAGTGACGAGTGAAGGTGACGGCAGACAGGACAAAAACACAGTAGATGATGATGTTTTGATGACAGCGCAACAGCCAAAGCAAGCAATGTGCATGAATGATTGTAATTGGATGCATGGAACTGTAAACACGGAGGTGAATAAACAGAGAAAGAGAAAGGGAAAATGAAGATACATTTTCAAAGCGTTTCCCTAAAAAGTACGTGGCCGTCGCTAGCAAATCGTGAAAAAAAAACACTCAATTTCCCCTAGCAATACACCGAAAACTTCGCCTTGAAAGGCACCCCAACCCAACCCCACGCCCAATATTGGATGTACTTGTTTTTGAATGAGTTTCAAAACGTATAATTGGTGAGACTTAAGCATCCATCAGTAGAAAAAGTCGTAACTAATCACATGACATGCATGTACATACACCCTGAGTATGTCGCTGTGCCCAGCCGCCCCCGCTCACCCTGTCCGAGGCAGACTTTGGTGGCGAACTGGCTCGGTCCCTCGGCCAGTCCGGGCGGACAGGGGGCGTCGATGGCCACCTGGACGTCACCGAACTGCAGCTGCGGCCCGCACTGGCAGCGGTAGCAGCCGGAGGCGGCGTCCAACACCTCGCCGCAGTCGGCTGGACACGGACCAGAACAGTACTGGCGGCCCTCGCGGCCACCGTCCGGAACTGGGGAGTGCAGGAAACATCACTGAATAAGGCTTAACCCTCGCCGGACCTATTGGTTTTCTACATACGCGCCGGCCGAGGGGGGGGGGGGGCGGGTACGACCCCCCCTCGCCGTTTCGCCTCTGGTGGAGCTAGCGCGTCGCGGAAAAAACGAGCGTGTGCGCCGTTACGAGACGCAGAGATTGGTACCCGATTTTAAGGTCCTAGGTCAACCGGTGACCTCTGAGGTCAGGTCAAGTGCCCCAAGGTACGGTTCAGTTTTTGGCGAATAACTTCGCGAAAAATGGCCGCAGAGCCGCGATTTTGGCAGCATCGTGTTCGTCTCGCTCAGGCGCGTCGAATGATATACTTTTTGTTCGGGTCAGGTCAACTTAGAGTGTTGACCTCAGGTCAAGGTCAGGTCAGCACCCCCAGGTCACGAAGCTGGTCGAAAGAGGTCATGTCGCATATCATTCGATCCGGCAGGTCTTCCTGAGTCCATTGGTGGCTTTCCCGACTCGCTAGCTCAATTTGATCAAGAGTTATTGACGAAAAACGAATATGACCTTGATGACGTCATACATGACGTCACGCAAGGTCAACATTGCAAAATATACGCATCTAACCTTGCAAGGAGTGCATCAAATCACGATTCTGTGGGCTTGAGATAGTTGGAGATCGTTCCCGGCGCCAGAATAGCAGTTTTCATTTTTCCCCATTGATTTATAATGGTGAGGTCACGAAAATGACCTGACCTCATATGACCTTTAGGAAAAATCCAAGATATACAAGTTGTGAGACTCATAATGGATACTAGATCCTGCAAGTTTCATTTCCCTGTGACATCTCCTCTGGCAGTGAGGGCGTTGCGAAGTTGCGACATCTGAAGACCGTGCAGAGGTTCACTTATGACGTCATAGGTCAGTGACCTGACCTGACCCAAAAATGCGGTTGGTGTCAAAAGATGCGGCTAGGATCAAAGGTCAGGTATGCCAAGTTTCAGCTCTCTAGCGCAAGCGTGTTCGGAGCTATCGCGAAAAAACCCTATGGGGGGGGCGGCACCCGCCCCCCCCCCCCCTCGGCCGGCGAGGGTTAAAGGTAGTGTGCCAGCTTTCCTGGACCGTATGGAGTTAATGGCCCAGATAAGGAGAACCGGATTTTTAGAACTTATCCATACCTTCAAAACTCATGGAAACGTCTTAAATTCTTCAAATTTTGAGTACCCCAGTGCGAAATTCGCCCCGACGGGTTGTCGGTCGTACCCCAAGCACATTTCACACCACTATGAACAATAAATGCACACACTGAAATCGCTATTACCGATATGCTCATCCAATCAAGTTTCGATAAACCCGTTCATCATCATCTCCTGCGGTTTCGAACACGCCTGTTAGGTGGTGCGGTAGACCGCGCCCAAAGCCAGGGCCCCGGTAACGTGAGGTAGCCGAGTCGGGGCAGCGTGCGCTGACCCAAGCCGGGCCGCGCGTCCTCCCGGTGTCATGTGATAGCCCGGGGCGGCCCGCGGGGATGCGGTAGACCGCGCCCAAAGCTGCGGCCCCGGCTTGGGTCAGCGCACGCTGCCCCGACTCGGCTACCTCACGTTACCGGGACCCTGGCTTTGGGCGCGGCTTCTGCTCATACTTTGTGGTGCGGTGGTGGTGCGTCGGACCGCGCGCTCTGACTTCGGGCAAGAAAAATGCGTCAGCTGATCATTGTCATTTCTGCCACTTGCGTGTGGTGAAATGGGGCCATAACTTAACCCGCGCGGGGCTGGGGTCTCCAGCCGAACGCGCGGGGCTGGGGGGGGGGGGTAAATTTTACCCCCCCCCCCCCCTGTTATCTCCCGAACTAATGGTCCGATTTGGAAAATTCAAACGCCAATCGAAAGCTCTCATCACGAACTACTAAAAACATGTACTTAATTTAAAGTTTGAGGTCAAGGTCAAGGTCAGGTCAAGGGTACAAATTGCAAGTTTCTACAGTATCGGCCTTGCACCGTAGTTGCCGAAGAATGGAGTCATGGACTGAGACTGATCGCCCAAAACGTGTTCTTAGGCTACCAAGACAATATTAGTCGCATACAATATCATTCAGAGGTCAAGGTCAAGGTCAGGTCAGGTCAGGTCAGGTCACCAAAAAACAAAATATAGAAAAGGGCATGTGTGACACATATTTTATGGGTCATTTTACTCATAGAATTCAATAGGCACACTCAATAAGTGATATGGACCACCTCTGGATGAATTTCAGGTCGAGGTCAGGTCAAGGTCAGGTCAAGTGAGGTCAAATTTTGAAGTTGGTTGTTAAGGCCTAAAAAGGTGTCTATCTGATGCAGTTTTTCACGGCGAATCGAATGGTGCTATTTTTGTTTCCGTACGAGGTCTAGAACTTCCAAAAAAGTCATTTTTCAAAAAATTTGTGTGTCGTGACGTCATAAAATTTTGAATAACTCCTACATTTTTTAACCGATTCTTCTAAAATTTGGGGTGTAGGTGCACATAGACCACTTCTCTGACATATATTCCGGTTTTTTCGATAGACTCAAAATTTTGGATTTTATAATGATTTTCCCAAAAAAATCAGTTTTTTGAAAAAATTTAGGCCAAAATCCAAAATTTTCAAAAAACCGAGATAACCATTTAATAGACAAAGTAAAATTACGTATAACCTTTTTTGTTACGTCTTGATTCCTTTAAAAATGAAGATGTTAGCGGCGTTTGAACTTTTGCCGTTTTTGAGGCGAAAATGGCGAACATGACGTCACTAAAACGTCAATTTCTCAAAAAATTTTCCGACGGATTTCGCTCAAATTTTCAGGGAAGGTGTCAAATTGATGTAAGAAAAGGTACTGAAAGTTTGGCGGCGCTGCGCGCCAACGTTTTTGAGATATCGCAAAAATTCGCGAGGGGGGGGTAAAATTTACCCCCCCCCAGCCCCGCGCGGGTTAACCCTCGCCCGCACATGCCATTTTCCCATCCTAGAACGCACATGGGGGGGGGGGGGTGGTTGCCACCCCCCCGCGCCATTTCGTTCCTGTTGGAGATAGAGCTTAGCAGTAAAGACCAAAAAGATTCTTTGGGAAGAGACGAATCCAATGATACCCAGTTTTACCTTCTCAGGTCAGTCATTGACCTTCCAGGTCAGGTCAAACTAAAAAATGTTGCTGTTTTGGGTCACCGTTGGATATCAAGTGCGCTGCTTATCAAATACCGATGACGATGCTGTTTTCTGGTGCCAAGCCAGCTAGAACCTCTTTGTCACTGTATCCGACCAGAATTTTGCTGCTGAGGTCATTTCAGGTCAAGTTAGGTCAAGGTCAATTATATGTGTTTGTATGTCTGTGTGTGTCTGTGTGTATACTGATGTGTGCACCGATTTTTTTTGGGTCCATATCACATGAAATCATGATCTGAGAAGCTTTTACCAAAAATGCAGTCAAAAAACTTCACAAAAAGTAAATTCAGCCTGCCTAAAACGCAATTATCTTAGATGACCTAGGTTGACCTTGACCCTGACCTTGACCCCTGTACATCGTCGAACAACATGTTCCATGATAGGTGGGAGGTAAGACTGGCAAAAAAGGCCGAAATCAGGGTGTCAAAAGCTCACAAGGCCCACGGCAAACGCAAGATGTTGAGAATTGGCCATTTGGGTCATGACATGACCTGAAAAACAAGGTCATATCTCCGAAACCAAAAATCACAGAAACTTGAAATTTTCAGTGGACATCAAGAAAGGATAGACGAGCAGCTATACGAAAAATCAGCCTTCTAGCTCTAAAAATGTTGAGTGCAGAGCAGAAAGACTGCCTGGGGGGGGGGTGGCAACCCCCCCCCCATGTGCGGGCGAGGGTTAAGAGACGGCTTTTTCATATCAATTATTTTACATAAAATCATATTTCAAACCATAAATAATGTTCGACAGCCAAATAAAAGAAACAATACCAATACAGGCTTACAGTTTAAGGCTCGACATTGTGTTGTCTACGATTAGACAGCTGATAATTCATTCCCGTACGTCGTAACTCTATAATGACCTTTGCTTATTGTCATATGTGCGCCGCATTCGCGATTGTTGCCGACGCCTGTTTGCAGGTCAGCCCACTACAGTTGTTATACATATCGAAAAACCGATAAACTTTTAGGCGAAAAAGGCACTATTCCAGGCCCATTTATGATTTTTTTTTGCGATATTAGGTAAAAACAGAAGCTTCTTATCCTAGGAAAAATAAAATGGGAAATCTTTCAAAGGTGGCACACTACCTTTAGCCCGCGCGGGGCTGGGGTCTCCAGCCGAACGCGTGGGGCTGGGGGGGGGGGGTAAATTTTACCCCCCTGTTATCTCCCGAACTAATGGTCCGATTTGGAAAATTCAAACGCCAATCGAAAGCTCTCATCACGAACAACTAAAACATGTACTTAATTTAAAGTTTGAGGTCAAGGTCAAGGTCAGGTCAAGGGTACAAATTGCAAGTTTCTACAGTATCGGCCTTGCACCGTAGTTGCCGAAGAATGGAGTCATGGACTGAGACTGATCACCCAAAACGTGTTCTTAGGCTACCAAGACAATATTCGTTGCATACAATATCATTCAGAGGTCAAGGTCAAGGTCAGATCAGGTCAGGTCAGGTCACCAAAAAAAAAAATATAGAAAAGGGCATGTGCGACACATGTTTTATGGGTCATTTTACTCATAGAATTCAATAGGCACACTCAATAAGTGATATGGACCACCTCTGGATGAATTTCAGGTCGAGGTCAGGTCAAGGTCGGGTCAAGTGAGGTCAAATTTTGAAGTTGGTTGTTAAGGCCTAAAAAGGTGTCTATCTGATGCAGTTTTTCACGGCGAATCGAATGGTGCTATTTTTGTTTCCGTACGAGGTCTAGAACTTCCAAAAAAGTCATTTTTCAAAAAAATTTGTGTGTCGTGACGTCATAAAATTTTGAATAACTCCCACATTTTTGAACCGATTCTTCTAAAATTTGGTATGTAGGTGCACATAGACCACTTCTCTGACATATATTCCGGTTTTTTCGATAGACTCAAAGTTTTGGATTTTATAATCATTTTCCCAAAAGAGCCAGTTTTTTGACAAATTTAGGCCCAAATCCAAAATTTTCAAAAAACCGAGATAACCATTTGATAGACAAAGTACAATTACGTATAACCTTTTTTGTTACGTCTTGATTCCTTTAAAAATGAAGATGTTAGCGGCGTTTGAACTTTTGCCGTTTTTGAGGCGAAAATGGCGAACATGACGTCACTAAAACGTCAATTTCTCAAAATTTTTCCGACGGATTTCGCTCAAATTTTCAGGGAACGTGTCAAATTGATGTAAAAAAAGGTACTGAAAGTTTGGCGGCGCTGCGCGCCGCTGTTTTTAAGATATCGCAAAAATTCGCGAGGGGGGTAAAATTTACCCCCAGCCCCGCGCGGGTTAATGCATGTAAGCACGTGAACTAACGTACAGTGCAACTTTAGCACCGGCTGAAGCCATCAAAGATCAAACCTGAACGTGAGGTAGACAGCAGACTAACCCTCCCTCTAAGTTGGAAACTAAACTACCAAGCGTCAGGAGAGGGCGGAGAGGTCAGTACCTGGTGAGCAGGTTTTGGTGGCGAACTGGTGCTCCTTGGTGGTGAAGCCGGGCGGGCACGGCTCGTCAATGGCCACAGTGATGTCGCCCTCCTCTAGGCGCGGCCCGCACTGGCAGTACTGGCAGTAGCTGTCGGAGCCGGCCGTGCCGCAGTCGGCCGGACAGCCCCGCAGCTGGCTGTCACACACCTGCACGTCGCCGTACTCTGCAGAAGAAATCGCAGCAGTCAGCGGTCAGGTCAAGTTGATCAGAGCAAACTGTGGTACTCGAAAGCTCAAATATCGTATATGTATTTTACATTATCAAACAAAACTGACTTATCTTTACCCTATCGTAAATGAGTGGCGAAATTACTCACGTGGCAGACTGCAGTTCCGCTGCGTACAGGCCGGCACACCATCCTCTTGGCATAAGCAGATGTCGCATCCAATATTGTAGGTGTCGTAGGGAACGCATTCTGAAATTAAGGATGTAGACTTAGGCGAGTTATTGAAGTGAGTAACTTCGCTCCTAATCACGAAAAAGGTTTAATCGTGCCAGAAGTAAGCCCGTAATCCTTAGGAAACGTTCTCTCTCACTATGTTCTCATCAGCCGTTTACTCGAAGTATGTCATGACATGCTACTAGTAAAATGATGTGTCGGCCTTTGCGAGAAGTGACATGAACTTGATCTTTTTTCTCCCGAACGAGCCGTACTTTGCTCTTCAGTTTAACCTTCCGTTGCTTCCATTATCAGCAGTCAGGCGTCCGTGCAGAAGTTGCTCACCTTCTCTGTTGGGCGCTCTGCACACCTTGGTGGCCAGGTGACGGGGTCCCTCGACCAGTCCCGGCTGACAGGGTTCATCTACCGGTACCTCCTCCTCGCCGGGCGCCAGTTCCAGGCCGCACTGGCAATAGACGCAGTTCTCGCGGGAGGAGAAGCGGACCGTACCGCAGTCGGCCGGACACGGCTTGCCGCCGCACACCTTCACGTCGCCCTTCGCTGCGGGGCGGGGCAGAGGTGAGTGACAGAAGGGAAGAAATGATGACATCGGCTAGTGGAATGGAAACTCCCCAACATTTTGTATATAGGTAACTCTTTGGCTATTTTTCCAAAGATAGAATTAATAAGAATATAATAAAGTCACAAGGAAAAAACGAAACATAACGTGAGTGTGAAACGGTCAGAAAGGGAGACGTAATAAATGCAGGTTGGGAGAGAAAACACCGCAACGGTGGCCTGAGAGGAAACATCGCTTGCACCTAAGAAACCAATGTATGCAATAATGGAGGAAATGGAGCATACACTGTACACTCACGCAGTGTATCGATGGGTCCACAGGCCTTGAAGAAGGCACCCGACTCCCTGAAGTCGGTACCGGGAGGGCAGGGCTCCTCGAACCCAACGTGGGTGTCTCCCGGCTCCCCCACGCCGCATTTGCACTCGAAGCAGTCCCTGCCGGCGTTGTAAGTCCTTCCGCAGTCTTGAGGGCACTCCGGCAGTCCTCCGTCACATGTCAGTGTGGACGCTAAAAAGAAAAGAATACGCTGAGCCATAGACCTCTGTACACCGTATGACCTCTGTATGCGGTGTACAGAGGTCTATGGCTGAGCGTGCGACTGTGCGTATTGCGCAAGTGCGTCAATTTGAAATGAAATTGACTTGCAAGCAAGCGGTGTTTATAATTTCATCAGCTTATATGCTCATCAAATTTGAGCGATATAAGCTTCGTATCAACATACTGTTGGCACGAAATTCAGTCGCTCACCAGAAGGCTCTCGTTTGCACGGCGTGCAAGCCGGCTCTCCATCGTTTGTGCACACACACCGGCTACAGCCGTCGTGCTGCACACTCCACTCCGAGCCCGGCTGGCAGCCTGTGAAAAACAGCGAGGGTGAAGCCCGGGAAGTTAGACGGGATTGTGACTAGCATTAAACGGAACACTGGCCTGGCATATTTACTATTTAGGAAGCGCACGCGAGATGCAAGACGTCGCTCCAACTTTTATCCATATGAAACAAGACACAAATGCCGACGGATGAAAAGATGAGAAGGAACACGCTTGGCAAGAGAGGACAAGTTAATTCAATTAAAAATGCATCCTTATTCTCTTGAGATCCAAGCATTGGTGATTGAAGAAGTCATGGCTGGTTTTGGAATGGAGTTTGTCGCGGTTTCGTAGCGTCACTCGTCGCTCACCCTGTCCGAGGCAGACTTTGGTGGCGAACTGGCTCGGTCCCTCGGCCAGTCCGGGCGGACAGGGGGCGTCGATGGCCACCTGGACGTCACCGAACTGCAGCTGCGGCCCGCACTGGCAGCGGTAGCAGCCGGAGGCGGCGTCCAACACCTCGCCACAGTCGGCCGGACACGGACCAGAACAGTACTGGCGGCCCTCGCGGCCACCGCCCGGAACAGCTAAACAAGCAAGCACACCGACAGCCGGAGAGATGAGAATCGGAAACAATACACTCCCATTTGGACCGCTAAATTGAGGAGTTATCGCGACAATGCGAATGTTTTTTGGATGATAGCGCATTTGGATGGTCAGGTATAAAGCATTATTACAGTATTGTCGTAGTATATCAGAGGCTTGGCAAGCGGTGCATCAACGATATTAACACATTTACTCGCACCTGGTGAGCAGGTTTTGGTGGCGAACTGGTGCTCCTTGGTGGTGAAGCCGGGCGGACACGGCTCGTCAATGGCCACAGTGATGTCGCCCTCCTCTAGGCGCGGCCCGCACTGGCAGTACTGGCAGTAGCTGTCGGAGCCGGCCGTGCCGCAGTCGGCCGGACAGCCCCGCAGCTGGCTGTCACACACCTGCACGTCGCCGTACTCTGCAAAAGAAAATTAGGCTTTTGCTGTTTTGACATGCACTCTTTATCATCTTTAGCACTCTGATCAAGAGCTATCGAAGTTCAAGCTTTCGGCAGGGAGTTTTTTGTGCGAAGAAAAATCATGTTGCGAAAGTAACTGCTGACATCTATTGGTAGGAACGCTTGATAATTGATATAAGCTGATATTTATGATTAATATAGGAAATTTTTGAGAGAGGAACGTGTGCTTAGTAAGACAAATAACATTCTGGTATAAGGCATATGTTTCGCTGTGAGAACTGTGAAAATGAAGATCGGGCTATACCTATGCTAATGAGCATTAGTTTGCTTCATAGTGACACAAATTGTACAGCGAGACATTCGATACTCACCTGGAAGGGTGCAGTCCCGCAAAGTGCACGTGGGGACACCATTATCTTGGCAGATGCAAATGTCGCACTTGATGTTATATGTGGTGTTTGGTACACATTCTGAAAAAGCGTGAAAGAGACAAATGATTCCAATGTAACACCTTTGATTCCAACGGCAGAAAGATATCACCCGAGGGGAAGACTGGCTTATATACATTGGTAGCGCGTTGGAGGCTCGAAATGCCAGCTAGGTGTTTTAGGTTGTTTTAGGAGCCGGGTTCGACTCCCGAGGTTCCTCAGTACGAGTTGGCATTCGTCGGGAAAACGGTACTCGGCGATGATCCAATTTTCCAAGAGACGATTTGTTTCAGCAGCGTAACAAGATGTCAAGGAGGAAACAAGTAACAACGCTCAGCCGCAATGCTCGCATCCCGTCTTCATGACTCAGAAAATGAGCATCGACATTGGCGACTCAATTCCGTCTGATGCCAACTACTAACTGGATGTGTCCAACGTCAACACGATTAATCTTACAAAGATTTAACGAAGCTGGTTGAAAACTTCCATTGTTCAATTCATCCGTACATATTATATCTGTAGAGGAATTGGCAGAATATTAGCGTAAAAGACAGAGGGATTTAGATACGATCACATCCATGAGACTTAACCACAAACTAGCAGATGAATCCCGATCACAAGCAGGAGTGCTTTCCATCGGATATTTTGCGGGTGAAAATATGACGGACCGGTTTTCGGGAGCGGCTCACCTTCCCTGGTGGGGGCCCGGCAGACCTTGGTGGTCAGCTGGGTGGGACCGGGCAGCGTGTCCGGGGGACACTGCTGGTAAATAGGCACCGCCGTGTCCCCCGGGGCCAGCTCGGGGCCGCACTGGCAGTAGGCGCAGTTCTCCTGGGTGGAGACGCGCACCGTGCCGCAGTCGGCCGGACACTCGAGGCTGTCGCAGATCTTCGTGTCGCCCTTCGCTGCAACATTTACAAACAAACATGGCAAGATTATTTGCAGCAACAATGCCCACCATCTCTGAGATCAGAGATGCGTGGTTTTCCCGGGGCTATTGTCTGATAAACCGGTCGACGCTTGCCAGTTGAACAATCGCCAATTTATTGCGATACACATATAATCCTAAAAGAGATGTGGTTCCAGTATCTACCATCCGCAATGCCCTGTTACATAACTGTTTCCAGCGTATCATTACACCAGCATTAAATATGTTCATCGCAATTCTTGAAAGGAAGCAACAAACTACAAGGCTATCATAAACATGAAAATGAACATTCAAAAGATGTTCTCGGTCATTGAAAGCACGAAAGTTATCAAGGTATTCTGGAAGCAGTAGGTACATATACAACAATCATATACAAGCATATCAGTATGAGAGACTCACGCAGTGTATCGATAGGTCCACAGGCCTTGAAGAAGGCGCCCGACTCCCTGAAGTCGGTACCGGGAGGACAGGGCTCCTCGAACGCGACATGCGTGTCTCCCGGCTCCCCTACGCCACATGGACAGTCGAAGCAATCCTTGATTTTGTTGTACTTGGTGCCACAATCTTGAGGACATTCCGGCAGACCACCGTCGCATGTCAGTGTAAGTGCTGCAAAACATTCATCGCCATCGTCAAAAATCGCTTCGCAGACTTCGTCATATTTGAGTTGCATTTCATAAGACACTGTTGAAGGATGTTAGATAGATGCGATTACCGGACTGTGGCAGCTTATTATAGAGATAATGGCTGCATACTTTGCCAGCCGATGAATAGCCAATCATAGGTATGCATATTGCATGCGTAACCATTTGTAACACTGCTTGTATTCATTAGTAAATGCTCATTCTTTTCATCAGTTTGTTCAAGCGAACCGAACCATCTATTTGTGCTCTACGGCCTATGGTAATATTAGTTATGTTCCACGACTGGATTACTCACGTGTTGGATCTCGCTGGCACGGCGTGCAGGCCGGCTCGCCGTCCTGTGTGCAGATGCACAGACTGCAACCGCCTCCGAGGGCGTTCCAAGGACCCGAGCCGGGTGTGCAGCCTGCAAATAAGGTCGCATTTGTGTTGCGGTAGGATGTAGTTAGCTGAGTCGAATATCAATGTTTGTAGGGTTATTTTTGGCTCAGGAGTCCATTTTGTTTGGATGGTCATCGCCAAGTGAATGGAATATCACAACGTTGGCGGATGATTATACAGACGCGAGGAAAGCAGCATATTACGGAACATCCGGGCGACAAACAAGCAAGTTGAAGGGAAAAGATTCATGACCGTGTAAATGCGACGCTTACTCTACATATGGCCTCTTTGTATTTCTGATTTTCAAATTTGTGTACACACCTTGTCCGCGGCAGATTTTCGTGGCGAACAGCGTGGGTCCCTGCTGAAGGCCGCTGGGGCACGGTTCGTCCACGGCTACCACCACGTCCCCGAACTCGAGGTCCGGGAGGCAGCGGCAGCGCACGCACTGAGCGGCCGCGTCTAGCTCCTCCCCACAGTCGGCCGGGCACGGGCCGTCGCAGTAGCGCTTGACAGGGATGTCGGGAACGTCGCCACCGCCGCCGCCCAGGATCGCTAACGAATATGGGTGACGAGGTCACTTAGGGTCTTCTGAGATGGTTCTCCGACCCACATTCAGTTGTAGACCGTGACAGATCTTAAACACAGTGTCTATAAAAAGAAACGCCGCAGATGTTCGCTACCTTTGAGGTTGGTCTTCGAGTAACACGCATCTGGCTCAAGGTCTTAAAAGCGACCAAAAAGGCGCCGTTTATGTGGGCGCTCACGTCACCTTCGCATGTGCTGAGTGCTCCCAGAGATCTGCCGATCTCTCTCTCTCTCTCTCTCTCTCTCTCTCTCTCTCTCTCTCTCTCTCTCTCTCTCTCTCTCTCTCTCTCTCTCTCTCTCTCTCTCTCTCTCTCTCTCTCTCTCTCTCTCTCTCTCTCTCTCTCTCTCTCTCTCTCTCTCTCTCTCTCTCTCTCCATTTCTTACGTTTTCCGTGCTGACAGTCGGTCTTGCCCTGGCAGTGGAACGGACCCTGGTCTCCGCTCTGGCAGTCTTCGTTGGTGCACGTTATTTGGCCGGTGGCTACGCAGGTACAGGTGTTGCAGGCTTCTTGCCAGGAAGTCCCCGGCGTGCATTGGGAATTCAAGTCCGCTAAGACATTGAGAACGTCAGACGGTCAATGCACTGGAGATCGACACTACATGGTAATATATCTAAAGAACATCTAGCTGACCCTGAACCCATGCCTCACTAACTTCATTGTAAATGAATTTGATGCAAGTGAATGTAGACTTTATTATAAGCTTTCGGAAAAAAGCAGTTCCAGGTTTTGCAATTTCATACATTGAAGCTCCAACCTCTTCACAAATCTCTGATCCAGCCCGAATGATTCAAATTTCAAACCTTCGTTTCCCGACCGAACGACTCACTGGACTCAGCGCGGACGATGCCGCGCTTGCAGAACAGTCGCCAGCCGGCGGTGACTCGGATCTCTCCGTCGACCTCGCAGGCCATCGGCTCGCCGGGAGTACCGTTCAGACAGCCCTTCTCGGTGCACTGGTACTGGCCGCCCACTGTGCACGTGCACCGGTTCTGGCACTGGTCGATGAACGCCAGCCCGTGACGACATGGCACTGGAACAGTAGTGAAAGGCACTCGAAAAGGAGAGGGAATGTATGCTGGACCCAAAAGGGATAGGGCGAAATTTTAGTGTGGTTATAGTCCCATCCGTCCTGGGTGATGCATGATATGTGTAGATAATTGAAGGTCAAATTTTCAGTTCGGTCTTTTGCTCTTCAGCAATGCCGGAAGTAACGTGTCTCTCAAATTCAATATCGCTTTGAATGGTAGGAACAAATTGCTAACTTTGGAATTTTTGTCCATACTAATCATATAACTGATAAAACATTAATTTAACATATAAAAAGCATCGGTCGGTAGGGGAAGGTGGGGTAAGACGGACCAGCTAAGGTTTGAGGCCGCATATCTTGCTACACTGCTCTCGTAATTCATATTATTTATAGTCTTCGGAATGCTCAATCCTTCCTCTGTTGATATGTGTAAAGACTAAATTTCAAATTAAAGACATCTAGGTGGTGGATGCTCTTAAAGAGGGACATGCCAAAAACTCAGACAAGAAAAAACGTGGGGTAAGACGGACCACCCAGCAGTGCCTGCTATCCGTTCATGTGTGTTACACTTCTGCTCTCTACTCTTGTAAGAAAAAGTAACCAGAATGGTAAAATAACAAAATGAGCCTTTATCCTTTACTCATGTGTGATGGAAGTGCAGCTAAAAGCTGGGAACATGTGTGTTGATTGTCGTTTGGCATGAATGCATGCTAACTGAGCACTTGCATGCATGGCTCACATGTAACAAAGACTCCTTCCTGAAAAATTAGCTTACTTAAACTTGTGTCAATGTTTTGGAAAAGAACTTTCCATATGCAGGGTACAATGGACCACCACAGGGTAAGATGGACCACAGTGGTCCGTCTTGCCCCAAATCTAAATTCTGTCATTATCATGACGTATATGTCAAATAGCCCAACATTGCAAAACCTTGCCTTTCCTAAAGTGTGACTATAACTAAGTTTATAACTTTGTTCTTCACAGTTAAGTGCAAAATAGAAACTTATCATGCAAGAAAGGCGCCGTAATTGAATCACCCGTAGACCTCTTATATTAGATCGGTTTGACGAAAAACAACATTTTTCTCAATAACTCAAAGGCTATGCATCCTAGCAGCATGAGCTCAAGGTGGCCATTGCTACGAAGGAAAACAAACATAGTGAGTGCATAAAGCAGTAGATACCAGCAGCGGTTCAGCCGGGAGGGCTGGTGGTCCGTCTTGCCCCGCTGGGCCGTCTTACCCCACCTTCCCCTATTCAGATTTTTTTTAATCATTTGACTTTAAAATAAGTTCAAAAGGGTTCTTTTTTTGCTGCAACAAACATTTTCAGACGATGTACCGTGGCCAAAAGCCTGTGTATTTTGTGTGTGTGCGGTGTGGTGGCGCTTCTCTAAGTATATATGAGAAGGCGCATAATATACCTAGATATAGCACACTTTTTACTGGTGAAAAAAACTGAAAGGATGATGATCTTCTTGCAAGTATACACTATACATGTCTTAAAGGGGTTTTTCTCAGCCGATAAGGCCCTTTCTGTGATCGTTAGATACTCTGAATATATAGATGGGCAAAGGGCGATGTCTGCAAATGGTGATTGACCCGATCACGTAAACAGTCAGCGCGGGGGTGAGAGTATGCAGACGCATCTCTGGCGGACTCTGTTTGGGATTCTGGCGCACTGTTTGCGTGGTGAACGCTCCTCGCCAGCTACATAGCGGTCTACTGGTGATCGGTGGACCACTGGGTGATAAAAGATCAGCTTCTGCGGCTGATGACATAAAATTGCCCAAAAATCCTCGCCTGATGAGGGGGCAAACTATTTCACCTGAATGTTCATCAGAGGTTATTTGATGTGGGCGAATATCTAAGAAGATTTTTAGCATTATCAGCCAAACGCATATTCGAATAGTAAATTTTGTATGAAATATCATGCTTATAGTTCCACCAAATCACAGCTCATCACTATTACATACATTACAAATATTGTTAGAATTCACTATTATTCATTGAGAGGCATCCATTACAAGTATGCTAATCCCAGCGTGCAGTTATTCCGACGTTCATCCTTGACCATATAATTTTTTAAACGTGAGCTCCAAACAAATGGGATTGCTGCAATATTGCATATGGTGCATCGGCGCACAGTGTATAGTTTGCATACCTAACAATTCTCTTTCCTGTGCTTTCGGTGCATTGTGATGTCGAGTTTTTAGATCTTTCAGAGATATGTTTTTCAATAAAGCTTTGGTCTGAGCCACCAAAATCAATTGACCGGTCTCTCTTGCATTTCACAATCCATGTGACGCCAGCTGGCAGCCATCAAAGGAGGGCACGTCGTCCGGCTCCTCCCCCTCCCGTTTTTCGTCAAAAACTTATAAATATGTTAGCCCTCGCCGGACCTATTGGTTTTCTACATACACGCCGGCCAAGGGGGGAGGGGGGGGGGGCGGTTACGACCCCACCTTCGCCATTTCGCCCCTAGTGGAGCTAGCGCGTTGCGAAAAAAAACGAGCGTGTGCGCCGTTACGAGACACAGATATTGATACCCAATTTTAAGGTCCTAGGTCAACCGGTTACCTCTGAGTTCAGGTCAAATGCCCTAAGGTCCGGATCCTTTTTGGTGAATAACTTCGCAAAAACGGCCGCAGAGCCGCCATTTTGGCAGCATCGTGTTCGCCTCACTTAGGCGCATCGAATGCTATATGTTTTATTTGGGTGAGGTCAACTTAGGGTATTGACCTCGGGTCATGGTATTGGTCAGGTCAGTGCCCCAGGTCACTAAATTGGTCGAAAGGGGTCATGTTGCATATCATTCGATTTGTCAGGGCTTCCTGAGTCCATTGGTGGCTTTCCCGACTCGCTAGCTTAATTTGCTCGGAAGTTATTGACGAAAGACTAATATGACCCTAATGACGTCATAAATGACGTCACGCAAGATCAACATTTCAAAAGTAACGCATCAAACCTTGCAAGGAGTGCATAAAAGCACGATTCTGTGTGCTTGGGATAGTTAGAGATCGTTCGTGGCGCCAAAATAGCAGTTTTCATTTTTCCCCATTGACTTATAATGGTGAGGTCACGAAAATGACCTGACCTTATATGACCTTTAGGAAAAATGCATATTATACAAGTTGTGAGACTCGTAATGTATACTAGATACTGCAAAATTTATTTCCCTGTGAAAGATCCTCTGGCAGTGAGGGCGTGGCGAAGTTGCGACATCTGAAGACCGTGCAGACTGCAGAGGTTCACTTATGACGTAATAGGTCCTTGACCTGACCTAACCTAAAAATACGGTTGGTGACTTGGTGTCAAAAGATCCGGCTTGAAGCATAGGTCAGGTATGCCGAGGTTCAGCTCTCTATCGCTAGCGTGTTCGGAGCTATCGCGAAAAAAAAATGGGGGTGGGGGGGGGGGCGGCATTACAACGTTGTGGACGTTGATGCAAAAACGCGACCATGTGCCCCGGCGTGGGTTACGCTAAGCTACGGTGCACCTTTAGAAAAGCTGAAACAGTTCACAGGCACTAACCACTTTCGCCGTTTACATGCGATTGCTAGTTACTTACGAGTTTCTGTAGGCTTTAGTGATGTTTGGTATGCTGAAAGAGACACCAAAAATATATTAGAATATGTGCGGAATGGATTTCATGGCGTCGGACGACAGATTCTTGTGCTAGCATTAGCTATTCGCATTTCGCTTGACATTCATTTCGGTGACTCATACGTGCTTCATACTACGGAATTCAAGCATACATAACGTAACAATCAAAATCATTTGAACCGAACTGTTCATTGTGGCATTTTTTCCCTTGTCCTCACCTGGCGAGCCAGCTGCGGTGACAGCGGCCATCAACAGGCCGGCTGCGGCTACCAGGGCCCGGCCGAAGATCGGCCGGGAGACGCACCGACGTCCCTCCATCGTGTAGGCCCGCGAGACACGGGACTGCAGTGGGCGGCTGGAGGTGCACCCCTAAATACCCCCTCCCCCCCCGACGGCGGCGGCGGGGGGGGGGGCAGCGGACGGTCCGGGAGGCGTGGGCGCAGAGTCAGTCCAGAGCAGGACAGTCCGCAGACGTCATTCAAATTGGTGATGACGTCATTGCAATGCATCGGTGTGGTGGAAAAGCCTTTTTGACATTACATTTTGGTGCTTTTGGACTTTGTAATATACAATAGCTAAGGAAAAGAGGAGCTACGTATGAGCTTCAACAGTTTATCAATGAATGAAGAATGCCAGCAAATCGGTGCTATTTTGAGTCGTCTCATGGTAACGACAATCGAATGTTTTCTTGGAATCAAAACATTGGAGCAAGTGTTTCATCTCATTGCCGTTTGCATGAAATATAAGATAATCATCGAATTTTCGCTCGGTAGCTGGTGGAGAAAATCGGCAGCAAGAGCAGTATATCGAGGGACGAGGGTGATGGCCATTCATTGACTTTCCAGGCGATACCAATGATCCTAGACCCTAAAGACCAAGTACTGATTGTATTCGTTTTACGGTTTCAGCGAAATCATATAATACTGATAGTTCGTTCTTTTTGTTTTTAATATCATCGAACTGAGGATCAAGTTTCCGAGCAGAGCACATGTCTGACTCGAGATGAGTGTCGCCGCTAATCAATACGCAATTTGTTATGTCTGTATCGCCATGTGTCAAGGCCTTGCAAAATTATTCGAAGTCTCTGATTACCTAAACATTAGGCCTTTTCCAACAAAACCTTTATAATTTAATCCGTTTTGATATAACAAATGTACTGTCGTTAGGTATTACTTTTCAGTTGTGACCTTTCCTACACCCAATGTTTGTTGAACCAAAAGTCATTAACTCGTATTAACCCGCGCATGACTGGGGTATTTTCCATAATGCGAGTGACTGAGGGGGGGGGGGGGTGGCTAACCAGAGGCCCCCCTATCTCCAAAAATACTGGGCCAATCGTCAAGATTCAAGCGATGTCTGATAGCCTTGGAAAAACTGTCGAGTGAAACCTATTTTCATCGACCTTGAGGTCACCGATGACGTCACAGGTCAGGTCAAAGTAACAATTATCGGCATTTTTGCTTGTTTACAATTTAGGCTCTGGCCGCCGACTGACATGTCCGATCAGGCTCATTTTTGGTTTAAGCACTCCTAGATATATGCCTTAGATACCCTGAGGGTACCGAACTTTTCCTTCGAATTTGTCAGGTCAAGGCCAGGTCATCCTAGGTCACGAAAATTGTATATCAGGTATCGGTCACGTGACGCTTGTTTTATGGTCCATTTTACACGAAGATTTCGAAAATATAGTCGTCTGTGTCAAATGAGGTCATTTTCAGCTTAATTTACCGGAGGTTAGGTCAATTTCAGGTCAGAAAAGGTCAAATTTTGAAAATGAAATTTTTTCAACGAAAAAGGTGCCTATCAGATGCAGTTTGAGCTCGGGAACACGATGGTGCCATTTATATTGCTGTACAATGTCAAAAAGGTACTGAAAATGGTTTTGAAAAACATATAATTGTAAAGTTTTGACAATTATGCAAATAACCTGGCTATTTTTGAAGATATTGGGCTAAAACTTGCTTGAGTAGTTCATCAGTGTGTGTTCTGTCACATATATTCCGTTTTTTTCGACATATCAATTTTTTAAATCAAAATATCTATTTTTGGTAAATGTAAAAACATATTTTTCAATTCTTTCAAAATTTCGAAAATTCGAGATAGCAGTTTGATAGCTACGTGTATTTGCTGTTCACAGTGATGCAAAGAAATTGGATATAGCTTTTAAAACTAAGCTCTTTGAGAGCGTTTGCCGTAATTCAATATTTTGCATCAGAGTCGGCCGACATGACGTCACTCTGACGTCATTTCCGGCTAAAATGTGGTAGCTAGAAAGTTGAAATTTTTACACAAGATGTCAGATTGATGCCGCTGAGGGTTATGCCAGTCTCGTGATAATCCGTGAAACGGTTTAGAAGATATTGCCCAAAAACGAAAGGGGGGCTCTGTCGAGCCCTCCCAGTCATGCGCGGGTTAACCTAAACTACATAGGTGGGGGAGAGTGGGGCACTTTGGTGCATGGGTCATTTCGTTTTCAAGAGTTTATGGGAAAGCGAGGGACTTCACTAGCTCAAGGTAAATTATGAAAATATGTCCATCATTGCCGCCCTTCGTGTACTGTAGAAGACGACGCTGTAGTTGTACCTGCTGTCATGTTTGATAAAAACGCAAAGTTGTAATATTCGTGCGCTTTCCAAACTTTTCTCATAACATCCATTTTCGTGATCCTGACTCGGAAATGTGGTTCAGCTTTTCAAAATTGGCGGTGAAGAAGCTTACTCTATGCTCGGAACTGCTGCAAACTTGTTTGTTGAAAAAGTCATATTTTAAACAAGAAATTTTGAAATGTAGGTATTACTAGGAATAACGCGGTGGGGCAGGTTCATGCCTAGGTGCACATTCGTGCATATTTTTTTCGTTAATGCGATTTATGACTTTATCTGTAGTACAGATCTCGCTTATGACGCTCGCCTAACTCAGTCTCGGCTGCTTGAGACGTCGTGGCAAGTAATTCACGTAACCTTGGCGAGGTCACGGAGGCGGACCGATAGTCGGCAGTTGGCACATTCTTGTTGGCCAGCTCATTCTTTCTACATTTGTTGTGCAATGCATTCTTGTCGAAAGGAATCAAGTGAAATGACCCCTTGCTAATTTCTTTTGGTAAATTTCTGGTAATGCTCGGTAGTTCCTCGAATTTTGCAGGGTGCACGAAAGTGTCCCAGCCCTTGCACGAATGTGCCCCATACCTGGGGCAGGTTTGTGCAAACGTTCAGAGTTATTAAAAGTCTTTTTTTTTCTAATAGAAACGATAATTTTAGAATATAACTTTTGAAGAGGAAAAATATCTGCAATAGTTCCTTTCCATACTACAATCAACAATTTTCTCTTCTCATTGCACCAACCAAAAAACAGATGTATGGATTTATCTTTTTTTTGCACTAAAGTGCCCCACTCTCCCCTATGCCATCAGAAATGGTACCGGTAAACCCCGGACCATGCTACAGGAAGGGTACCGATGGACCCGTGACCATTCCAACAGAAAGGGCCCCGGTTGACCCGAGACCTAAACATTGGGAGCCATTGGATTCCTGTCGTAAAGAGCGGCAAGCGTATTTTTCCGTGAAAACATACCTCTTTAGTGGCTAAACGCTAGGAAATCGGTCTAGCTCCTCCCTTCCCTTCCCTATCCTTCTTGTTCCGTCAAAGGGGAAAAAGTGAATGCCAGCGATGACTTTGGTGATGAAGCAATACTGGTGATGAGGAGGCCGGAGCCGAAACCTCATGATAAAAAAGGCAAATACAAGCATCTCATTTATTCGACAGTGATAATTATGGAACCATGCAAAGAGCAAGCATCCGAGCATAGCTACATTTTGCAAGTATCTATCATGGTCTGATGTTACTATGAACACCTAAAACACGTCCAGGTTGACCCGTGGGATGGCCGCCGCGGTACAAAGCGTCATCTTGTTGTGCGCACTGATGGGCTCGAGCACGAGTGGCAGCACACCATCCCGTCCACCGGGCTGGTTGTCGCAGAGAAGGCGCGCCAGACTGGCCTTCTGCACCTCGGCCAGCTGAGCGCCGCTCAGCGCGCGGTCGTAGAAGAACCGGTCACCATCGCGCGCCCTGCGGAACTGCTCTTCAATGATACATTGGAAAGTGGGCCCCACCCTGGCGGCCGGCGCCCGGCCCTCCAGCACGCCACCCACCCACAGGTCGATGTCTCGCGGACTGCCGTAGACGGACTGCAGGGCACCCAGCTCTGGCTGCGGCACCACGCCCTCCAGGTCGGACCAGACGCTGACGTTGGTACCCGTGCACAGCTCGCGCACGTCAGCGAACGTCGGCAGACCCAGCTCCCTGCCGCGTAGCACGTGCGCTGCTGCCTCCTCGGCCGGCTCAGAGTTGGTCTGTCCGCCGCCGCCCTTCTGCAGCCGTCTGCTAAAGCCAGATGCTGCGGCCAGACCCTGCACCGCGTCCAGGAAAGAACGTCTTCTGCTCTTGCTGTCCTCGTGTTCGGCCGGAGCTGTCGCAGCGGAGCGTTGCCAGAACCTGAAGGCTGCGGCTGCAAACTCAACATTCACTGTGGGGTCGTCATCGAGACTGGTCGCTCTGGACAGACGCTGGCCTGCCGCGGCGCCCAGCACGTGCGGCAGATACTCGCGGTAGATGATGTGCTGCCACTCGGCGATAACCACGCGGCGAGCCAGCTGGAAGATGCGCTCGTCCTCCCAGTCGCGATGGTTGCGCCGGACAGCGTCAGCCACCCGGTTGTGCTCTCGGAGAAGGATCTGGTGAAGCTGATCGGACGACACCTCGAGAGTGTGGCGCTGAGCGGGGAGCCGTCGCGGGCGGAACAGCGACGCCGAGCCGCGGTAGCTGCCGCGCGGCGAGCTCCAACTGGTCTGAGGAGCGCCATAGTGGCTGGAGGGAGGTGGTGGCGGAGCGCCATAATCTGGGGAGGGCGGTGCAGAATAAGATGGATGCGGAGCTCCGTATTGGCTGGACGGTTTGTCCACGTATATGTACTTTACGATGCCAGGCGGTCCCGCAGGGCCTCTTTCGCCCTTTATGCCGGGACTGCCAGTGTCACCTTTAGAGCCCTTAGGCCCAGCTGGTCCCTGCGGGCCATCATTTCCCATCTTACCCTTATCACCTTTTTCTCCCTGACTCCCCTTTTCACCACGATCTCCTTTCATTCCTTGATCTCCCTTGGGTCCCATCATTCCTTTCATTCCTTGGTCGCCCTTTGCTCCTTGATCCCCTTTCATGCCATCATCTCCTTTTGGGCCCTTAGGTCCCGTATCTCCCTTCATTCCATCTGGACCTTGATCACCCTTCATTCCCTTATCTCCATCATTGCCCTTCATTCCAACATCTCCTTTATCTCCCTTAGGACCAG